TATTACCAGAGAATTCCATAAGCATTGGAGAGAATGCCTAAGGGAAAGTTTGGGCTGAATTCTACGGTTCTGAACCCTCTTCTGCCAGCCTTGGTTGGGTTACTATTTCTTGGATGTGCTTTCATTATTAGCTTTGACCATTGTTTAATTGCTCCTTTCAGCACCAATGCCACACTGTTTCTTCTCTAAGGCTGCCATGTTTCCTCTTCTAAGACATCAATAGCTTAGCCCCTATACTTGTTAAAGAAAATCCCTTTAATCAAGTTGCCAGCTGAAGAGTCTCCACTCCCATGTCTCCATCACTGGTGTTAGTAGAAGTAAGGACATAACAAAGACCAGAGCAGACATAAATGAAATAGAGACTAAAAAGACAAGAGGACAGATTAATGAAATGGAGCTATTTTTTAAAAAAAGACAAGCAAAATGGACAAATCTTTAGCTACACTTACCAAGAAACAAAGAGAGATAATACTAATAAATAAAATTAGAAATGAAAGACAAAACATTACAACTGATATCACACAAATATAAGGGATCATGAGAAACAACTATAAATAATTACACATCAAAAAATTGGACAACCTAGAAAAAAATGGATACATTTCTAGAAACATACAAGTACTAAGACTGAATAACGAAGAAGTACAAAAATCTGAATCAGTAATCAAAACCTCCCAATAAAAGGAAGTCCAGGATCAGATGGCTTCACTGGTGAATGCTACCAAACTTTTAAAGAAGAACTAATACAATCCTACTCAAACTCTTCCAAAAAAATCAAAGAGGAGGAAAATTTCCAAATTCATATTATATGACCAGAATTACCTAGGTACCAAACCAGACAATGAGGACACTATAAGAAAATAAAATTACAGCCAATATGACTGATGAACATAAATGTAAAAGTCTTTAAAAACATATTAGCAAGCTGAATACAAAATACATTGAAAGGCTCATGCACCATGATCATGAGATTTATTCCTAGAGGTGCAGAGATAGTTCAACATCCATAAATCAATCAAAGTGATACACCACATTAACAAAATGAAGGACAAAAATCATATGATTATCTCAGAAAAAGCATTTGACAAAATCCAACATGAATTCATGATACAAAGTGGGTAAAGAGAAACAGTGCCTCACCATAATAAAGGCCATATATGACATACCCATGTTTAGCATTATCTACACTAATAAAAGAGAAAAAATGGTAATTGGCATACAGCGCTACCCTTTTCATTGGCTAATCAGGGCTATATGCAAATTAACTGCCAACTGAGATGGCAGTTAACTGCCAACAAAGATGGCGGCTAATTTGCATATGTAGGCACAATGCTGGGAGGCGAAAGAGAAAGCAGGAAGAAGCCCCCTGCCACTGACAGTGATCAGAAACCCAGGGGGGAGCTAAGAGGTGGGGGGCAGGGCAAAGGCGGCCAGGGCCGCCTTTGCCCTGCCCCCCAGCCATGATCAGAGAATCAGGCACCTTTGCCTCCCTGGCCAGTGATAGCAGGAAGTAGGGGTGGAGCCAGCGATAGAAGCTGGGCACGGTCGAAGCTGGCAGTCCTGGAAGCTAGGGGTCCCTTGCCTGGGCCTAAAGCGGAGCCCACGATCGCGGGGCCGCTGTAGCTGCGGGTCCCCAGTGCCCGAGCCAGACGCCTCAGCTAGAGGCATCCTGCAGGGGCAGGGGCGGAGCCCGCGCGATCGCGGCGCCCCCCCCCCCCCGCTGCCACTGCGGGTCCCCGCTGCCCGGGCCAGACGCCTAGGCCAAAGGCGTTAGGCCTGGGCAGGGGCGGAGCCTGCAACCGCGGGGAGCTGGGGGTCCCCTGCCCAGGCCTAATGCTTCGGCCAGAGGTGTTAGGCCTGAGCAGGGGCAGAGCGGGAGATCGCGGCGCTGCTGCCGCTGCGGGTCCCCCCTGCCTGGGCCAGACGCCTCGGCCAGAGGCATTAGGCCTGGGCAGGGGCAGAGCAGAAGATCGCGGGGAGCTGGGAGTCCCCTGCCCAGGTCTAATGCCTTGGCCAGAGGCGTTAGGCCTGGGCAGGGGCAGAGCCTGCAACCGCGGGGAGCTGGGGGTCCCCTGCCCAGGCCTGACACCTCTGCCGGAGGCCTCAGGCCTGGGCTGGGGGCAGAACCAGTGATGGGGAGAAATGAGGGTCCCCTGCCCAGGCCTGACGCCTCTGTCAGAGGCGTCAGGCCTGGGCAAGGGACCGATCCTGCGATTGGAGGATGATGGGGGTCAACGCCTGAGGGCTCCCAGTATGTGAGAGGGGGCAGGCTGGGCTGAGGGACACTCCTTCCACCCCCCCGCCACACCCAGTGCATGAATTTCGTGCACCAGGCCCCTAGTATTCAATAATTAAAAGCTAAAAGATCTTTCTTTAAGATCAGGAATAAGACAACATAGTATTGGAAGTCCTAGCCAGAGCAATTGGGCAAGAAAAAGAAATAAAAAGTATCCAAGTTAGAAAGAAAAAAGTAGCTGAACCGGTTTGGCTCAGTGGATAGAGCGTCAGCCTGCGGACTCAAGGGTCCCAGGTTCGATTCCGGTCAAGGGCATGTACCTTGGTTGCGGGCACATCCCCAGTGGGGGGCGTGCAGGAGGCAGCTGATCGATCTCTCTCATAGATGTTTCTAACTCTCTATCCCTCTCCCTTCTTCCCTTTAAAAAATCAATAAAATATATTAAAAAAAAAAAAAAAAAGAAAGAAAAAAGTAAAACTGTCTCTATTTGCAAATGGCATATTATTTATTTTTTAAAAAACCCTACCAATTCCATCAAAAGCTGTTACAACTAGTCAACATATTCCATAAAGTTGCAAGATACAAAATCAACATGCAGAAATCAGTTGTACTTTTATAGACTAATGATTAAATATCTAAAAAAGAAATAAACAATCTCATTCACATTATCATCAAAAGAATAAAATACCTAGGAACCAATTTAACCAAGTAGGTGAAAGCTCTGTATACTAAAATCTATAAGATTTTAATAAAGAAATTGAAGAAGACAAATAAATGTCCATGATTGTAAGAATTAATATTATTAAAATGTCCACTACCCAAAGCAACCTACAGATTCATCCAATCCCTATTAAAATGCCAATAGCATTTTAAAGAGAAGTAAAAAAAAAAATCTAAAATTTGTATGGAACCACAAGTCTCCAAATAGCCAAAGCAATCTTGATAAAGAAAAAAAAAAGCTAGAGGCATTATACTTTCTGATCAAACTATATACAGCTTTAATAATAAAAATAGCACAGTGGCAGAAAAACAGACACATAGATCAATGGAACAGAATAGAGAGCCCAGAAATAAACCTATGAACAATATACACTTTAAAACTCTACATTTTGCCCGGACAGTGTGGTCAGTGGTTAACTGTCGACCTATGAACCAAGAGGTCACAGTTCAACTCCTGGTCAGGGCACATGCCCGGGTTGTGGGCTCAGTCCCCAGTATGATTTTTCTCTCATCATTGATATTTCTATCTCTCTCTCCCTCTCCCTTCCTCTCTAAAGTCAATTAAAAAAATATTTTTAACAAATAAAATAAAATTGTACAATTTTGTCAATTATACCTCAATAAAGCCAAAAAATAAATAAATAAGATTTGTACCCTTCAGAGAAAATACTTGTTGATGGAATACCTTCAAATTTTTTTTCCACAAAATAATTTCTCAGTACATTCTCAAAAGTGGATATTGTATGGGCTACGTGTGACCCCAATGCAAAAATAAACCCACCTAGAAATTTGTCAGATTTTTAAGGAAAAAGAAAATACACCTATCTAACCACATCCACTGAGTGAAAGTAAAAATCAATATAGTGATTATTTTGTAGAAAAACTAACAATGACAACATTATATATTGAAAGGAAAAGTCATAGTTTTAAATGCTTTTATAACTAAACTAGAGGCCCGGTGCACAAAAATTTGTGCACTTGGGGGGGGGGGTCCCCTCAGCCCGGCCTGTGCCCTCTCACAGTCTGGGACCCCTCAGGGGATGACCACCTGCTGGCTTAGGCCCGCTCCCCGGGGGATTGGGCCTAAGATGGTAATCAGACATCCCTCTGGCAGCCCGGCAGCCCTTGGGGGATGTCCACTTGCCAGCAAGGAGCAGGCCTAAACTGCAGTCGGACATCCTTAGCGCAGCTGAGGAGGCAGGAGAGGCTCCCACCACCACCGCTGTACTGGCAACCATCAGCCTGGCTTGTGGCTGAACAGAGCTCCTCCCATGCGAGAGCGCCCTGACCACCAGGGGCAGCTCCTGCATTGAGCGTCTGCCCCTGGTGGTCAGTGTGTGTCACAGTGACCAGTCATTCCCAGTCCTTCTGCTGTTAGAGTCAGTTTGCATATTACCCTTTTACTATATAGGATAGAGGCCTGGTGCATGGGTGAGGGCCAGCTGGTTTGCCCTGAAGGGTGTCCCGGATCAGTGTGGAGGTCCCGCTTGGCTGCCTGGCCAGCCTGGATGAGGGGATGATGGCTGTTTGCAGCTGGTCACACCCTCTTCAGGGTGGGGGTCCCCACTGGGGTGCCTGGCCAGTCTGGTTGAGGGGCTGAGGACCGTTTTCAGGCTGGCAGGTGACTGAAGCTCCCAACCTCTCCTTTTCTTCTTTTTTTTTTTTAATTCTGGGATTTATTTACCTTCTATGGCTGTCACTGGAACTGAGAGCCGGCTTTAGCTCTGAGGCTCGGCTCCATCTCTGAGACCTCGGCTGCTGAAAGCAGGTATCTGGGTTTGTTTGGGTTCTATAATTGTAACACCGTTGCAGTCCTGCTAGCTCCAGCTCTGACAGCTGAAAGCAGGTTTCTGGGGTTTATTTACCTTCTATAATTGCAACAGTGTTTCTTAGACTGCAGCTCAGAGGCCGGCAGCGGCAGGCGGGGAACGTTGGCTTCCTCCATCACTGGAGCAAGCAAGCCTCCTGTTCGCTTCAGCTGCCTGGCTGCCGGCTGCCATCTTGGTTGGCAGTTAATTTGCATATCTTGTTGATTAGCCAATGGGAAGGGTAGTGAAGTTATGGTTAATTACCATGTTTCTCTATTATTAGATAGGACAAGAAAGAATAAAAATCAGTGAAGCATTCAACCCAAGATTATTAAATCCAAGAGCTCACTCTTTGAAAAGACTAAGAAAACTGACAAATATCGGGTTATTAAGAAGCAACTGAGGGAAAACCAGATAAAGGCATCATTCTGAGAATCAGAGATTGTTTTTAATTTTAAAGGACTTCTTCATATGACTCAATTCTTCACCCTTTCAATACAACAAAAGTATTAACAAAATCAATAGAGAAATATTTGCATATGCCAATATTTATGGAAGAACTTAGGAAAAATCTCCAAGCTCTTCTCCAAGTTTTACTTTGCTTCCCTGAGTATTAAGTGATCAGCATGCAAGAACTATGGGGGGGCACTATTTGTTACAAGTACGGTCTTGTTGGTTTCTGATCATTACATGCAGCTATTCCTTTTCTTCTTCTAAAATAATGGGTATTGATTAACAGGAGGCCAAATTGCCCAGAGTTCTGTATTCCTCCTCTCTGGTGCCTGGTGTCTGTGTTCAGCTGTATTAAGCAGGCCTCCAACAAGTATTGTGTCAGACTTACAGAGAGCAAATGGTTTCCATGGGCAAAGGGCAGAATGGACTAATCATCAGTTATTAAAAAGAATCACCAAGTTAAGTGGTATCACTACAAGCTTTAGTTCTTCATATACAAAATGGGAGTATATAACATAAGATGACATCAGTTTATCTTGTTAAAAGACAGAGTGGCAGCTGAGTAAGGGGAAGGACACACCTCATTTTGCTTTCAAAGGGAATTCCTTTCCAAGCAAATGAAAACAACATGGTCAATTAACTTCCTCAAAGCACTTTCAGAATTCAGCTCCTTTTCCGGTCTTTGTTAAGTTGGTTGTGTACTTCAATGCTCCTGACTCTCTCTCCCCAGAAAAGAAGGTGATTGGGTCAAAAGCATTTTTTAAACACTAATAAATTCATTAATTTAAGAAACTCTCCTGTGCCCTCTATTTTCATAAGAATTAACTAAAGTTATGAAACCAAGTAGAAATACATCTCCCATACAATTTTTCTGCATTCGATCTGCTTCTCTCATCATGCCTATGAATAATTGTATTTATTCTCTGCTTTGTTCCAAAAATGATTTAAGGGTAAGTCCTATGAGTAAGCCTCATAGTAACAAAACCCTTCCTAAGCTGGCTTTGGGTAGACACTGATACCAATATGTTTAAGTAAGAAAATAATTGTATAATGGAATACTTTTAGAAAGCACTTATTCTATAACCACCAAAATGCTATCGAATTATATACATGTAGGTATGTATGTATGTATGTATGTATTCTTTCTCATTTACTTCTGCACTCCCCAACTCCCCCCACCCCACCTTTCTCTGCCGACAGTACTCTGGACCAGGCCTTCATTAAATAATTCACTAGTCCCCTAACTGGTCATACTACTTCAAGCTTTCTCCCTTACAGTTCAGCCAACACACTGCTGTCAGACTAACCTCCTAAAGTGTGTCTTTGCACATAATCACCCCTCAAACTCAGAACCTTAAATGGCTCCCTACAAGCTCCTGAGCCTGGCAGCCAAGGGTCTCTTTCCTCAACATTTCTGGTTCTCCTGTGCCCTGCAAGTGCTTTGTTTCAGCTCAATTTGGCTATTCCTCACTCCCCAAGAACCTTGCTCTCATTATGCCCCCTCTCCGTAATGCCTTTGTCTTCTTTGTAATCCCAATCCTAATTCTCTTTCAAAACCCTGATCCAGTTACCATCTCTGTAAACCCCTGACCAAAAAGTTCCAGCCATGTCTATCCTCCTCCACATCCCACATCCTGGCATGCATGAGGCAGGACCTAGTATGGCTAGTCATCTTGCTATAACCCAATGTGTTCTTTTTCCTAAACCCGACTAAGCCACTCACTTTAGGCAACTCGTTGCCACACGTTTGTTTATACAAAGAGGGCACTGAATACTTACTTCGTAGTGAGACTGGAAACCTAATAGACTTGCCTTCTTCAGTGTGTGCAGCTATGGGCCCATGCTTCTCAAACAGGCTTAGGTGCACCCAATGGTTACACTGTGGGTAGTAGAGGAAATAAGATGAACCTTAAGAAGCTAAATTTACTTATGTAATTTATAGTGTTATCTTTAAAATGAAATGCCCTATAGACTGTGAGTGGGTAATATGGAAGGAATAAAATCATTTCTGTTTTTTTCATCATTTCCATTTTAAGATGCAATCAACAGTTTTTTTATTTACTTATTTATTTATATTTCAGCTTTATTGAGGTATAATTGACAAATAAAATTGAACGATTTTATTTTTTTAAATGTATTTGAATCTATAGACTGCTTTGAGTAGTATGGACCTTTTAATGATGTTGATTCTACCAATCCATGAACATGGCATATTCTTCCACTTGTGTATATCTTCCCTCTCTCTTTTTTTTAACGTCCTGTAGTTTTCCGAGTACAGGTCTTAGATGAGTGGATTAAAAAACTGTACACCTATACAATGGAATACTATGCAGCTGTAAAAAAAAAAAAAAAAAAAACTCATACCATTTGCAACAACTGTTGAATGAACATGGAGAGCATTACTGTATACTAAATGAAATAAGCTAGACAGAGAAAGATAACTATCATATGATCTCACTCATATGTGGAATCTAACGAACAACATAAACTGATGGACAAAAATAGATCCAGAGACATAGAAGCATGGACCAGACTGTCAAACCTCAGAGGGAAAGCAAGGGAGTGTAGGTAGTGGGAAGAAATCAATGAACTCAGATGCATATATGCACAACCCATGGACACAGACAATAAAGTAGTAAAGGCCTGAGATTGGGGGGCCGGGAGAGGGGTGAGAGAGGTCAATGGAGGGAAAAGGGGACATATATAATACTTTCAACAATAAATATTTTTAAAAATGTTTAATGGGTAATAGAAATTAAGACTGAAGATTTTTTTTCAAGTCTGCTTTACTTCCTTGCTTATGATATATTTGTGGCATTAGACAAGAATGCTAGAAGTGAGTTTTAGTATGACCACTCAAAATGAAATGCTTCTTCTCTCAAATGTTAAAAGCTCTAAATGGAAACATTTTGTCACAAGTGGAAGCAATTATCTGTAAGTACAACTTATTGTGGGTTTCAAGTAATGCATGGAAAAGTAAACACATTTTAGTTCCAAAGTCAAAATTTTTTGAATATTTAACCTTCACTTTTTATTTTGCTGTTTTTGAAATCCAGTAATTTTGAGTTCTATTTTTGAAAATAAAATTTATTAAGTCTGATAATTTCTTTGTACCTAAGTAGATGTGCCTATTCATACACTCAACTATTCACACACACACACACAGTTATATATGCAAGCACCCTCAACAACAGGCAGCAGCTGGTTAATCAAATCCATTGCTTTATTGGTCAACTTGAGTGTGTGTGAGTCTATGTATGTATGTGTGTGTGTGTGTGTGTGTGTGTGTGTGTGTGTATATATATATATATATATATATATATATATATATCCTATATACCACCTATTAACACATATGCATGTTACCTTAACTATTACCTTAACTTTGTTTCAACTCATAGAACATGCAATGTGTACCAGAAAAATTAATTAATAACAAGTAACTGAATGTTAAAAAGACTCCTTAAACTGACACATTCAAAAGAGTCCATTGTGTGCTTCAAGTAAGGATGCTGAGGTTCTGATGTTTTTAATACTAGAGGACATGTCCCTGGAAATTCCCCAAGCAACTTATGTTGTAAATTTTTTTCAACCATCAAAAACTATAAATAAACCATGAAGTTCAACTATTGTTCTTAGAATTTGTTTATTTTAAGTAAACCGGTAATATAGTTCACATGCTTCTGGAATTATCCATGATTCAGCAAATGGAAGCTTCTTCTGGCAATTACCAATTTCTCGCCTAATAAGAATTTCCCTTGTGCTAACTATTCTTATGTACTGGGTCGCATTGTGGGTACTGGTGATCTTTGCCATCTTACACAAAAAGTTAGATTTGCATTGGACCCAGAAAAGAATCATTTCCAGTTTTCTAGATGAGAAAACTGAGACAGAGATAAATTGTCCAAAGCCACAAGGGACTAGTAGAGTTCTCACACCACCTCTGGTCTTCCATTCCCAGTCAGAGGAATGGCCATTCTAGTCCCAAACCTCTAAAGCATCGGTGAGGGTCTGTATTCTGCACTGGGGCAGGAAAGGGGAGGAGGTGATGACCTTGACTTTTGGTGCAGGTCCCTCATAACAGGCAGCAACTGGTTCACTCAACCCCATTGCTTTATTGGTCTGACTTGAGTGGAAACACCACTCTGTACTTTATTTTTATTTATTTTTAAACATATTTTTTATTGATTTCAGAGAGGAAGAAAGAGATAGAAACATCAATGATGAGAGAGAATCATTGACTGGCTGCTTCCTGCACGTCCCACACTGGAGATCGAGCCCACAACCTGGGCATGCACCCTGACTGGGAATTGAACTGCGATTTCCTGGTTCATGGGTCCATGCTCAACCACTGAGCCATGCCGGCTGGGCCACCCTGTACTTTGAAAAAGCTATTGAAAGAAGTTGTCTTTCCTGAAATCACCATGAGATTCAATCTGATCCTTAATCTTCTGAAAGTTTGTTAAAGAGAGAGAGAGAGAGATCAGCACCTCATAAAGTATATAATCATCCAATCACTAGGTTGTACATGTGAAACTAATATAATGTTGTATGTCAACTACAATTGAAAAATAAATTTAAAAAAATACTAGAACATTTTTAAATTAAAAAACGAGATCGGGCTTTCTTCTAAGTCCATTTGGGGAAATCTGTGTCCTTTGAAGGCCAAGCGGATCTCCCATGAACGCCAGCCAGAAGCAGGGTTGCTGCTAACACCTTGGCCATGCCAGACTCAACTGAAACTTTAGATCAAAGGTTCCCTTGTAGGAAGCTCGATATTGCTCTTCCTTCTTCTCTGAGTTTGTGATTTCTTCTACACGATACTATCATGTCTGCAAACTGTCAGTTTCACAGGGCAAGGAAACAGAACAGCAAAAAGTTAAATTTCCTGTTGATAAATGACAAACATAAACATGTTCCCATTAGCCACTTTAAATTTAAAATAATAGAGGTCAGAGAGTTGTGGCAGAAGAGGAAGTCAAAGATACCTGAAGTATGAGAAGGACTTGACATGGCTTACAGTTGTAGGGGGCCACATGGAAGGTGGAAGAAGGAATTAAATTCTGCCCACAACCAGTGAGCTTGGATGAGAACCTGAGCCCAAATGAGACTATACCTGGCCAACCCCTGGATCTTTAGCCCAGCGAGACCCTGAGCAGAGAGAGCCCAGCCAGATCATGCCAAACTTCTGATGTACAGAAACTGAGGCTAATACAAATGTTTTGTTTTAAGCCACTTCAAAAATTTTAAAACAGTGCTCAGAGGTCCTGAGCTGGCTCATGCATCACATAGGTTCAAATTCTAGCTTTGCTGCCAACCCACTGTATGACCTGATGCCATGGCACCTACCCCTGAATGTCATCTCCCATCGTAAAATGGGGAAAGGGCACATTAACATCTACTTTCTAGAGTAATATGAAGAGCAAAATGAAATGTGAAAGTAAATGGCATCATGTAAATGCAAGTTTTATGTAAACCTCTGCCTCCCTCCAACTATAGTGTTGATATGAATTCTGCATTTTTCTCTCCATTTATCCTCCATTTTAATTGAGCATAAAATTAGCTAAATGTTTATTTGTGAAATACTTCTTCATGAAAAAAGCAACATAAATCTAGGAAGGTAACTTATTGAGGTCATTCCTGCCTCAACACACTTTTACTAGTTTGAAATCTATTGGCCCCCTCTTCTCCTTTGGGATTGGTGTCTGGCTGAAAACTCAACACCCACGCTCACAGCCATAGCTTGCACAGCACAATACTCTACAGTACTGCAATGGCTCCCTCTCCTCCCACCTCCTAACAAACAGTACTTAGAAGTACTTTGACATTCGTGATCTCATCCACTACTCCTAAGCCAAAGCTAAGATGGATGAAATGATTCTGTATGATAAATGGTTGGCCCTGGATCACACACAAGTCAAGAGCAAAAGAAGGCCTAGAACTGAAGTCATCTTATGGCAAGCTGGGTGTCTGTCACCTCCACCCCACCCCACCTGATTAGCAGAGGGCAGAGAGAACAGAAGACGCTGCCTACTTGCTCTGTACCCAGGACACCAGATTTGCCAGCCCTCTCCCAACACTCCGTTCACATGCCCTGGTGGTGCCAAAGTCCCAGGGCCCGGCTGGAATTCAGGACACATGATACAGGGTGGTGTGTGGATTTCTGGACTTGTTTGCTTTCAGTTAAACAAACTGACTTAGACACAAAAAAATAAGTCCAGGTTGATCAATCATCAGAAGTCTCATAACTCACCTGAAGAAAACCTTCATGTTCATTTTATGTGAATGTGTTCAATAGCATTAAAGGTAACTACCCATCCACTCCTCCAAAAAGAACATATACCCTTGAATCGTGCCAGATCACTAAGGAGATACAAAATGAAATGACTATTAGAATTAATTTCCTTCTCATAAAGCCTAAATTCTAGTTTTAATATACAAAATAGGAAAACTGATAAACTTGTAATGATAAATTGAAAAACATAAAAGCAGAAAATGGAACTCAAAGTACAACCTCTTTATACATATCTGAAGTTCATTATTTAGAGCCTCATTTCTTGCTGTTGAAACTGTCAGTCGGTTGATGGGATGAAAGGCCAGAAATACACATTAGAGTACAAGCTGGTAACATTAATAGGAGACTTTGGATCTGCATTAACAATTGCTGCATTGTAAATATTAAAAGGAACCTGTGAGAATGAACTTTGTATTTGTGTGGAAGAGGCAAACATTTTGGCATTTGAAGTAAGTAGAAGTCTATTTCCAATATTGGCAAGTCAAGTACACACCACCTAGTCAGTTAATGAATCACCTTCCATCTCCTGCCCTTCTCCAGCTGAACCTCAGAGAGTGACTGGGTTTGATCTCAGGGGGTGGCCATCTGCCCTAGGCACATTGTCAGATGCACCAAAACACAAAGTGACTATTCAAAATAATAAATTATTCTCTTACATATACCTCCACTGATGCAAATAATTGAGAGGGAAGTACATTCTCTTGGGACTCATAGATAAGGGAGTGAAGGCCGGCTCAGAATTACTGACAAATGAAAGAGCATTACAGTACTGTCAAGGAGTCTGGCATTCTTTTTCTGGCTGCCACTCATCATAGTGTGACCATTGGCAAGACATGAACACAAACCATTGCTTTCTCCCTGACACAGACCTGCTCAATTTATCTCATAGGATTGT